AGATCTGCGGGCAGGCGAGACTCGCGACCAAACATCATTAGGAACGGGGTCTGTCCTGTAGAGGTGTGAACGGCGGTGGTGTAGGCGAACAGGGCATAGGGAAGGTGTTCGTCCCAGTCCTGTTGATTCGCGGCCGCCATGCGTTTAAGCTTCCCGGCCAGAGTCTGGTTCATCCTCTCTACCATCCCGTTCGCCTGGGGGTGATACGCCGTGGTTCGGTCCTTCTGGATCCCGAACTCTCGGCACAGCGCCTGAAATAGTTCGGCCTCGAATTCACTACCCTGGTCGGTAATGACTCGTTCGGGGATCCCGCACTTAAGTACGTAGTTTTCCACGAAGGCCCGGGCCACTACGAGGGCTGTTTTATCCGGGATAGCCACCGCCACGGGGTAGCGGGTGAAGTATTCCACCGCTACGAGAATATATCGGTTGCCCCGGTGGGATCGTGGAAAGGGCCCCTGCAGATCGATTCCGACCAACTGATTCGTCCGACTGACTCGGAACGGCCTCAGGGGTACCTGGTACCTCGCCGGCTTTTGCCCACACTGCTGACAGGCCCGGCAGCCCTGCACCCAGGCGGCCACATCTTGTGCCAATTTGGGCCAGAGATACTGGCGACGCAGGGTCTCTCGAGTGCGTCGTTCCCCATCGTGGCCCCCGAGTGGGTGGTCATGCACCAGCCGTAGCAGCTGGGGTCGCACCTGGGCAGGAACACAGATGCACCCCGGCTGGCCGGCCTCGGTTAACTCCCGTACCACTCCGTTCCGCACACACAACCGGGCATACAAACCGCTCCAGGGTCCTGGTAGGGCGCTCTTTTCCTCCCGCAGTGCCGCCTCCACTGCCGCCAGATCCGGATCTCGCTGCTGGGTCTGTCTCAGCTGCTCGTCGTTTAGGCCCGGGAAGGCGCAGCCGACGTCCTCCTGGATCCGTCCGATCGGGTCCCGAGCCGCGGGTCCCGCGCTTGCCGGGCGGTCGACGGGATCCTCAGTGCCACCTGTGAGGGTTTCTGTGGCGCACACTGCACTCTCTCTCGCTGGGGGGGGGTCAGTGGCCGCGGCCTCTCGGGGGTCCGTTGCCCGCGGGCAGCGTCCCCCCGTGAAACACGGGCAGGCCTCCTCCACCCTCGTCTCGGCGTACACCGTGGGTCGCCTCGACAAGGCGTCCGCGTTTGCATGCGTCCGGCCAGCCCGATACTCGATTTGCAGGTTGTACTCCTGCAACTGCGCCAACCACCGGGCCATCTGCCCCCGCGGCTCCTTGAATGTAAGAAGAAACTGCAGAGCATAATGGTCAGTGCGTACGCGACATCTCCTGCCGTACAAATACGGCCGGAACTGTTTGCATGCGAAAATCACGGCGTACAACTCTTGGCGGGTCACGCAATAGTTCAGCTCGGCCCCACTCAAGGTCCGGCTGGCGTACGCGATGACTCGTTCCGTCCCATCCTGTACCTGTGACAACACCGCGCCCAGCCCGCTGCTGCAGGCGTCGGTGTCCAAAATAAAATCAGTGGTAAAATCGGGGAAAGCGAGGGTGGGGGCGTGGGTGAGGTGGTCTTTGAGAGTGGTGAAGGCCGTCTGGCAGGCCCCCGTCCACTGGTAGGGGTGCTTAGGGGAGGTGAGTTGGGTGAGGGGGCGTGCAATCTCGCTGAATCCCTTTACAAATCGACGATAATAGGTGGCGAGCCCCAAAAATGATCTGATCTCCGTCAGATTCCTTGGCCGTGGCCACTCCACTACGGCGCGTACCTTCTCCGGATCGGTGCGCACGCCTGCCTCGCTGACGCGATGCCCGAGGTACCCCACCTCGCGTTGTGCGATGTAACACTTACGTGGCTTGAGCTTGAGATGAGCCGCTCGCAGTCGCTGGAACACCTCTCGAAGCCTGGACCAATGCTCAGACAAAGATCTACTGAACACTATCACATCGTCCAAGTAAATCAGGCACTGTTCCCACTGCAAGCCCCGCATCACCAACTCCATCAACCGCTGGAACGTCGCGGGCGCGTTAGTGAGTCCGAACGGCAACACGCGAAACTCAAACAGGCCCATCGGGGTGGTGAATGCTGTTTTTGGCCGATCCTCCTCCGTCATCTCCACCTGCCAGTAACCGGATGCCAGATCGAGGGTGGAAAAATACCGCGCTCCTGCGAGACTGTCGAAGGTGTCGTCGATGCGAGGTATGGGGAAGGCATCGCCGAGCGTGACTGCGTTTAGTTTACGGTAATCGACGCAGAACCGGGTTGACCCATCCTTTTTCGTTACTAGTACCACCGGGGCTGACCAGGGGCTCGCCGAGGGCTGAATTATGTTATCGCGAAGCATGTCCCCAACTGCCTCTTTGATTTGGGCGCGTTCGGGTGCGCCCACTCGGTACGCAGGGAGTTTGATGGGTCGGGCTGCACCGGTGTCAATTTGATGCTTAACAAGGTCGGTCCGACCCACGTCCGAGTCGTGTTCGCTGAACACGTCGGCATACTCCCGCAGTAACTCGCGCAGCCGATCGGCCTCTCCCTTAGGTAAGTCCGCCCATGGTACATGTAACGCGTCGAGCAGGGGAACGACCTCGGCTCGGGGAGTCGGGCCGACTCGCCAGGCCAGGTCCTGCTCACCCTCAGGACGACCGGGGTCCTCAGCCCAGAGTGCGAACACCGAGTCGTTAGAGTGGCGTGCGTGCAGGGGGTGTACTGTGGCTATCGGGGTGCGCCGTCGCAGTATCGCGGGGGTATTGTGGGGGTTAAACATCCGCATAAACAATCGGTCCCCATCTGCGTTTACCAACGTGGCGGATCCCACAACCCCATACCGTTTTGCCAACTCCGGGTGAGGAGTTAGCATTACCTCCCCTGATGGTCGGAGCGCGGGGTCGGTGGGGGATGTTGCCACCGGCACCAGCATCTCGGTGAGCGGGCCGATGGTGACTGCCGTCGCCAGGATAGCGACCACAGGTGCAAAGCGGCGGCGCGTTGGTTCTCGTCCCAGGAACGGTATCCGCTCGCCGTTGCTCTCCATGGTGGCGCATCGCTGGCGGGGTTGCACGTTGAGTCCCAACCGTTCTAGGAGGTCGGTGCCTGCGATACACTCGTGACACAACGCACTCGACACGTAGAACTCCTGCGTGCACACCTGGCTGCCTATGCGGACCTCTAGGGTGGCTTTCCCCAGCAGCCCCATTCCGGCTCCGCTCGCAGTGTGCAGCGCGCGGTCCGGGGCCTGCAGGTGACGCACGTCGACCCCGATCGCGCTGCAGTGCGCTGCGCTCACGAGCGAGGCCACCGCCCCCGTGTCCAGCAGGATTCGGGTACGCACTCCGTTTACCTCCCCTTCCACCAGCGACGTGGCCCCCGTGATCCCCGCCACCAGCTCCCGTAGCCAGTCGCCAGGAGTCACCGTTTCTGTGGGCGTTGTTGCTGGAACCTGTGTGGAGATCACTCGCTCGCCATTATTCTCACAGCTTGTTTGTGTCGGGGCTACGTCGATTTCACCCCCCGGTGGTCCCCTCTCTAGGGGGGCCTTAGTGTTTGACCTTAGCTCTTGTCTAGCTCGGGCGACCTGAGGGCAGTCCCTCCTGAGATGCCCTCGCCGATCGCACACATAACACGCCCGGGGAGGGGTGGCGGCTCCGTAGTGGGCTCTCTGCCCACTCCCTCCTCCCCCAGTGCGCTGCTGCTCATATTCTGCTTCTAGAAGCGCTATCCTTCCAGTTAGCCCTCCTACCGTGGAGTCTAGTTCCCCCATCTCGGATCGGATGGTCTCAACGGAGGATTGCAGCTTGGTCATATTCTCACCTACGTGGGTTACCCTTTCACCTACTTGGGTTATCATATCTCCCATGCCGGCCTGTAACCCGGCTACCCACCCCGGGGTCGTCTCGCTGGGTCTCTGGGGCTCCCTTGCCCGTCCCCTTACTGCGATGGCGGGCTCTTCCTCCTCGTCGGAGAGTAGGCTTGCTACGGCGCACTCTCGTCCCCTCCCTCGAGGCTGCGCGCGCTCACCAGAGAGCTTCTCGCATTTGCGCGCGCGCTCGACAAGTGTGTTAAAGGAGAGGCGTGCACCGTCTATATTTGGCTGCCACCACGGGGTGCGTGCCAAATATCGCTGGACCTTCCCGGCGGCGAGGCTCTCAATTACTTTCGCCTCGTGCTCCGGGTACGCGAGCTGGGTCAACATGCGTACGTCCTCGGCGTAATCTCGCAGATCCTCGCCGGGCTGACGGCGGCGTGCCTCTAAGGCCGACTGCGCCTCCTCCTCGTCATAGGCGCCGAAGCGCCGTTCGAGTTCGCACATTAATTTTTCCCACTGAGTTTGTGCGCTTGCGGGCAAAGCTTCCACAAAGTCGGCTGCCCGTCCATCTAAATGTATCTCTAACTGCTGCAACGCCTCCTCATCCGACCACCCATTAACCTTTTTAGCCCCCCTGATGCTGCGGGCAAACGATTTCCATGATGGAATTCCTTTGCCCGTAAATGTGCATTTGATTTTAACCTGGGTTGGGGGGCCTCTTTCCCTTGGGGGTGCGGGGGATCGTCCCGTTTCTGACACCAATATGTGGGGGCCGCTGGCCCCCGGGGTCTCTCCCGCCTGCATCCCCTATTCCGTTTAGGTTACCCCACCTCCCTATTACCCGCTACGGTTTCGCCGGCATTCGAACGCGACGCCCCCACTGTTACAGTCTCGCGCCGCGCTCCCACGCTGCGAGCATACACGCGCACAGCATCATCAATCAAACGCCACACTCCCCCTCTTTACACCGCTACGTACAGCTCTCGTATACTGCGAGCGTGTGCCCGCCTATAGCCCTGTGCGGCACGTTACCAATGCGCATCCGTATCCGACACGTAACGAACGTATGAGCACTCCCACACACACGCCGCTCCGCGCACTCCAACTCCACTCACGTTATGATCGCGCACCTGTATCGCACCCGGGGTGGGCGCACGCACACACACGCAGCTCCCCACGCGACACTCTGCACGACAAGATCACGCGAGACCACGCTTCGCTATTAATGATTTATTATATGCTACCTGCGAATTGATGTCAAATCAGTGAGTCGACGAGGCTGGCCTACGCTGATACCTCTATACCTATTCCCGATTTATCTGCTACGATACCCTACTTTACCTCCCCACTCACTGTTTGGTGCCCGCGGAGGTTCGCTGCTCTCTGCGCTAACAGCGTACCTCGATGCGTCGCACGGACGTCCGGGTCGCTGGCTGGAACTCCTGCTGGTCCGCTGGCCTGGAGAGAAGGGGCGATTTCCCCTCTCCGCTCTTCTATTTATCCTCCCTACCTCAAAGGGGATGCTGCGCTGAACAATGGGCTCGTGCACCCCAAGCCCGTGCACGGCGGTTCCCCGGGCGCTGTTGATATGCTAATCAGTGAGCGACGTTGGCGGCGTACATCCTAATTACTCCCTTACCCTTCCTAACAATGGGGCCTGCGCGCTCCAGCGCAATTATCCCAACCCCCCATGACTATGCGCAACAGCCCCTGTGACCCCGCTATTCATGCTGTCCCGTGCCTCCCCTGCTTGCCCCGTCGACCCGTGGGAGTGTGTGTGGGGGGGGAAAATGCGCCTCAACCGCGGTGGCCGAATGCCCCACGCCGCGACCACACAATATTAAGGCCGGCCGCGGCGCCGCGGTGCCACGTAGCACGGGGGGGTCATCCAATTCCCTGATCGCCGGAAACCGTGAGAATTAATCCCGATAAGGGTCTCTCGGATAAAAACCGGTCGATCAGGTGACCTTCCCTTCCAGCTCTATGGGGGGGGGAAATGCGTGCGGGTGTGTGCTTATGTGGGGCGGGTGATGGGGGGCAGTGCGGTGGGGGAAGCCGGGCGGCTCCCTGGTTCGGCAGAGCGGCCCCGTCGTTGTGGCACCACACAGTCACGAAAACTTCAAATCTACATTTAATCACATTAATTTTAACCATATTCAATCAACCTTTCCATCTACCAGGTTTCCAACCCCATCGGAATGATACGAGGGGAAGATGCGGACAGTTTGGCAAGCGTGCTCACCTCTGAAAACGTCACTCAATAATTTATTTGGGCTGGCGCACTTTCTCATTCATTATCGATGTACTTTCCAACACAAAACGTATGACGCCACACCACCCGGTGTGTGGGTTTGCGTGGCTGTGTTATACGCTTCTCTCTGTTTTTTAACCGTTCTTGCCGCGTCTGCACTTCGGACATCGAACTCGACAATTTAACTAAAAACTATGAACAATTTTTTTAATATTACCAGGTAAAATGCCCGACTATGCTGTCTGGCTCTTTTTCAGAAGTGACCTGGCAATCACAAATGATTGCTCAACGAAGTGGCTTATCATGTGGACATTTATAGCAACCACATACTCTTAAACGCGTGATGTTGATTCTAAATGAGGGGAGAAACCGGAGGACCCAGAGAAGAATCCACGCGACTACGGCGACTACGGGGAGAGGGAGACACATACAAACTCCAAATATACAGCAGGCGTCAGGGTCGAGATTGAACCGACAACCTCCTGTATACCAGGCGAGGTAGTTGACATCTTGCAACCGTGGCAGGCACTACCCCAAAAAAACATACAACGGAGAACTTGTGACGCTATCGGTAACCCTCAAACACGGCCAGGTGAAAGCCCACACTGAAGCAAACGAGTTCTCGTAAATTAAAGGAAGTTCAGGAATCTTTATTTTTGTTGCTGGGTGATCACCCAGAGAGCGCGCTTCCTGCAGTTTGTATAAACATGGCCGGACAGCCACGATCTCAAGCTTTTCCCTCCTCAGTGGTAAAGAAAAATCAAATACCGGTTGAGTTTTTTTTTTTTGTAAACAAGTTTGGTGGAAAAACAGCACGGCTAAAGGCACAGTGGGATGCGGCTAGGGTGTGATGGTTGTTGCGCTGGACATGCAAAAGACAAGTCGCCCATTTGATTCGATTACATTTTTAGCCATTGAGTCAATACACTGCGAGATGACCGTTGGTCAAACTTCACCACGCTGGTCACTAGGGGTTGGTAAACCGGTGGGAGATGGGGGTAGGAAGCCTCTGCTTTGTCCGCCATTGCAATATGGCGTTGGGGTTGTTGTTTATGTGTGTTTATCTGCATTGTTTCCTCCTTTTGTCTATTTTTTTTCCTTGGAGTTTGTTTTTCCTTCGGGGTGATGAGGTTTTATACAGTATTTTCGCACCTCCGATTAGCCCGCACCTCCGATCAGCACGGTTCTGGTATTTATTTGGGAGAGTCGGACGGACCTATTGGATTGGAGCTGCCTTGATGTCACCGCAAGTCGTCCCCTTTTCCCGAAACGAACTCCATTGTGAGTGCACGATACACCAGTTAGATCAGACACAAGAACCAGAGGTCAAAGGACAACGCTTTGTAACCATGGTCACCAGCAACTGGGCTGTGCTGGCCCAAAAACGACCCAGGTTCTGGCTGAAAATCGGTGTCAGCACCCAGGTTCCACGCTTCCATGCTCCATGAAGCCTGCCCGTTAACTTGGTCGCACCCCTAAATCTCCTCTCATCCTCTCACCCTTGTCCCCTTCCCTCCCCAAACCTTTCTGAGATGGGAGTTAGGAAAGGATCGCAATACATAACGTAATCATGTTTAGGTTTATTTCGGATTCTATTAACGTAATTTTCTGCCCTACGTGAACGTTACGAGTGACCGTGTACGCATCACCTCTGTGTTGACCCCGTGGTGTCACAGATGGTTCTGGGGTTAGCCCAGCATGCAGCATGAACTGAAAAGTTGAATTCGATGCCCGTCAATGACTAACATCGGTGGCGTCTGAAATATGGTGAAGTATGGTTAAACAACCACCATGACAGGCACCACGGTGGCGAAATGTTAACAATCCTGCCTTGTATACAGGACGTGGGTTCGATCCCGACCCTGACAACTTGTTGTATATTTGGAGTTTGCATGTCTCTCTGCCCGTGGGAGCGTGGATTTTTCTCCGGGTCCTCCGGTTTTTCCCCTCCACATTTAGAATTAACATCACCACGCGTTTAGAGTTTTTTTCTGCTCTAAATTTCCAAACGATGAGCCACTTCGTTGAGCTGTGATTTCTGGCCAGGTCACTTCTATGCAGCTCAGTGGGGCTTGCCTGGTCAAATACAAATATACATAGGGAGGGCCAAACACGGCAGATTGTTAAAAGGGGTTTACACATTCTTATGGAATACTTACGTAGAGCGATGGATGCTCACGCAGGTTATGAATTATAAAATGTGTATTAAAGCAGTCTGTGGACATTCAAGACTGAAGCATACAGAGAGTGAATGGCTTAATTTTAAGGGGCAAACATACAAGAACCAATACAAACGTGAGTGCTAGGGAAATCCAACAGTTTATAACATTTTTAAGATATTCACAGTGGTCGAGCTAACACCTACGCACTAACTCGGCACACACCACATTCATGTACATGTTCCGTTTTTATGCCGGTGGAGCAATAAACATGTAACATCACAACTAAGGACAGACGGTCACACTCGCCAAACTGATTGGGGTGGCATCACAAAGCGTCCCCGTTCGCACCGCTCTCGCACCAAAACGCGACCATTTCTCCGGGAGGCTCAACCGGGACATCCCCCCTCCCTCTGTCCGCCACGTGTGCTCAGCCACCAGCCCCAACCACACGGTGAAAGGTCTCTTGGCAGTGGCCTCGCTCACCATACGGAAGCCTTCGCCTACCCCCACACCCCCACCCCCTCAACCGACTGCTGAGGTAGCGCCCTGCCCTTTGACTGTTTCAGGAGTCGTGCATTAGGATTCCGAGTTTTCACAAAAGATCCGGAGGGGACACTGGGGAACAGCCTTTTCTGAAACCATTGGGGATTGTCCCCGCCAAAACCGGTAGACGTTTAATAGCCTGACCCGTGACGCCCAATCGCAGAGCAGGGAGAGACCCATTTGAGGAGGTGGCGCCCAAGCAGTCTGGCACGGTACGTTATTGGTCAACAGACTCTGAAATCCTAAGTACTAAACGGCTTCCACAGCACACAAAGCTAAAATGAGAAACGGATAATTCCACTATCGGGTTCAGGAGGTTGTAAGACATTCACGGAACGTTGCGTACATTTTGCCGTTAACTAATCTTCCCAGCTTTACACTTAAACATAACGAGCAAAAGAAATTACCCCTACACATGCAAATCACATCTGTTTGACGTTTTTATCTTGTATAAATAAAAAGTAAATTCCTTAGATGAAAACTTTGACTTATCATTGTTTGTTTAGTGTTTTTTTTTTACCTCTGCGTTCCAACATAATTTGCAAGACGAATTGCCTTCGATCGGTTAGAATAATCGTGGGGAGGCGCTCATCATTTTTTACAACTTCGATCCAGTGATGGAAATTCCACATTCCTATGTTTGGGGTGAGTTAAGCACATTGGACAACCACTGCTGACCTCACTACCAAGTGGTAAGCATTTGATCAGCCCCCACCCAGAAGGACGATGGGCTGATCCAAATTCCCCAAACTGAGATTTGATATAATTTAACTTCTTACTATGAGCCCGCGCCCTCCGACCCGGCCAGATTTGTTGCGTCGACGCACAGGGGAGTAATTTCTCAAAAAATTACAATTCTCCGTGACATCATCAATCCAGCAATGCCCCTTTCCGACCCATGCTTGGCAGCACCCACAACGCGCCCGGGGGCTGTCGTCTCGTCTCGGGTTGCTGACTTGCTTTTTGAGGATCTGTTAACGAGCAGAACAAAAATATATATATAAGTCTTTACATTGACCGGCGGTTGTCTCAACACGACTCGCGATGCCACTGACGTCGCTGCCCTGCGTTTCACGACGGCATCTATGCAGTGACGTCGCTAGTCGTCGTCAGCTTAGATCTATCCACAAGCTGCAGTGGTGTAACAGTCGAGTGTGCAACGTGCACCGGTAGGGCCACGGGTGGTGCTAAGAAGGGGGGGGGGGAGTAGGGATAGGGGTGTGGGTCCTTTTTTTCCCTCCACCGGGGCCCCATGCAAACGACACTTTGGCGTTTGGTAAGGGGTGGACAAAAAGTTACCCATCGGCCCGGACCCCAAACGAGGTTTCTCGACGTCAGATTGAGCACCGGCCAGCCGCCGTGATTTACGTGACGTCGACCGCCCTCAAAGGGAAAACTCAGAGAGAATCCGTCGGCGTCTGCCTTTCACGGGACGGGACAGGGAGAGGCGCCAGATAGACAGGGCAGGACCTGCGTGGCCAGCGGCGTATGCACGGTTGGTACGGGGCCCTGGTGCGAGGGATGAAATGGGGGACCCTTGTCTGCTTCACTCACCCCCCTGCCCCCCATTTGTCATAGCCCGGTGCCTTGGCCCCACGTATCTGTGGGCCCTGCTGCAGATGTATGTGTGCACGTGTATGCTGAACTTCTTCCACACCGTACGTAGTGAATCATGCTAATCGGGAGGTAGGGGGGTGATGCGGGGTCCATAAACTCGATGGCTGTGTGTAGGCCTTAAAAAGGAAAACAAATCCCAAAAAAAACAAATGGTTCTTTGCATTCTTTGTAAATGCGTGCCCAGGTTTTGAATCTCTGGCTGTCTGACCTGAGTTTGAAGTTCTGTTTGTGAAAAAAAGACTTGAACGTGACGTTAAGGACCGTTGCAGTTAACGTGCTCTAGCGATGCCACCGCTGTGGTGACTGCAGTGAGAATCTACTTGATGGTGCACAATGCATGGTGGGAGCAGACAAGAGGAGTTTTGTCAAGATGCGCGGTGCATTGTGGGAGCAGAACATAAAGGGGTTTCAGAGGTGAATCGACAGTTTTATATATATAGGAATAGTTCTAAACTGCTCCAGTTTAACAGCATCTGAAATGAAAGCGCAAACTTGTTGTTTTGGTTTGCGTATTCCCTTGTCAAGCTTCTCAGAAGCTTCCCTTTTCATGTTTCTCCGATAATTTAGCGGTATACGCTTTCTGCTACGGGACATCGCGATATCGTCCGAGCCGTCCCGGACTCGCACCGATCTCTCCAAAACCCTAACCTTTGCAAATCCGTCCTCCCCAGGGGTTAATTTTCTCAGTGAATATTTTCTTTGCGTCGTTGGCGACAGCAAGAGAGAGGCCCTGACCTAAATTAGGTTGATGTGCTGGTAGACTAAATAAAGCAGACACGTGACTAGTCGTCACAGCCAAAATGAGAGGTAAACTGGATGCGGTTTGCCGGATGTGGGAATAAGTTTCCGGGCTGGCGACAGGGACGGTAACCGGACTGAAATGAAAGCCCGCGCCTCCCCGTATGCCAGCATCAGACTCCCGGCCAAACGACGTCACGGCCACAGCGCGGGGACCAAACGCCTCCACGCCTCTACCGTTGTCGCAGCCTGCGTCGCGCGTTCGTGGGAGCGGCGAGCATGGAACGTGCGCGCGTGGTACAACCCCCGAAGTTCTACAAGTACGCGGCAGCGAGCGCAAACCCCCCCCCGCCCCTTAATGCCCACCAGGTCTTCAACCACCCACCCTACCTCCCCGTTAACTGCCCCTCCCGACCACCCCCCCCCCCCGCTAACCTCTACTAGCACCCCCACCCCTGCTAGAGCACCTGACCGCTGCACCGTCGCGAGTTCACGGCGCGATGCCGCGTCACTCGTCGTCGTCGTCTTCATCGCCGTCATCGTCCGGCTCTCGTTTCCTCTTCTCTCCTTTGCTGTCGGGGTCGTCGTCTGGACAAACAGGAACCACGCACGTCATTTGGGTTGGACGTTAACGACGGCATCCCTCTTACCCATGGCTCTCACCTCTCAGCTCACTCCATTCCCTTCCACACACTTTCCTACTTCCCCTCTCTCATGTCACTCTACTCTCCTCCATGCACTCTGCTACCTCCCCCCTCTCATATGCTACACTGGGATGTTTGGCCAATTTGTTTTTAAGGAATGTCTTGATTTCAGGAGAAATACCGAGAGAAAACGCACAATGCACATGTGATGATAACAACAAAATATCTACAGGTGGGTTCATGAACCAACTTCATCTCCCAGTTGTCTCATATCCTAGGTGGTTTGGCCATTTCACAAATCTGTACGATCCTCCGACCCTTGCCTCCAAGCTGCTGCATCTCAAGCATGCGTCACTCGGCCGACAAAGGATTATTGTAAAACTCTTTTTTTTCATCACGGGGGAGAGATGAACATACGCACCCTCGTCTTCCTCCTCCTGATCCTCCTCCTCCTTTATTGCATCCTCGTCCTGCAGGGAAGACGCGGGACACGTGAGAAACCGACATAAAATCGGCCAAAAAATAAACCACAAATCCACTACCACACCTGTCAGGCACTTCCCACACTCACCTCGTCTTCCTCCTCCTCCGACGGTGGGTCTTCATCTTCATACTCTTCCTCATCTTCTTCCCCTAATGGCAAACAACATCGGAACTCCTTTCACACTCGCCGACACAATGGGAGTGTGTCACCAAACACATTGGCTCACTTGGTTCAGCCTCGTGATGAACTCTGACCTCTAACCCCACTCTAACGCATGATGGGGAAAAACCCTGACCTCTAACCTCACTTTATCCCAGCCTAGTGATGAACCCTGACATCTAACCTCACTTTAACCCAGGCTGGGGATGAACTCTGACCCTTTATCTCACTTTAATCCAGGCTGGGGATGAACCCTGATCTCTAACCTCACTTCATCCCAGCCTGGGTATGAACCCTCACCTCTAACACCACTTTAACCCAGGCTGGGGATGAACTTTGACCTTCCACCCCACCGTTACTAAGCGTGTAATGATTCACTAATTCCAGCAACTTCTAGAATTAGTAGGATTCAGAGTCACGATTTGACTCAATAATTAATTATTTTTCGGGGGAACATTTTTTTATTATCCCTTTTGTATTGTTTCTAATGTTTTTCTGCCTCGCATGTACAGTTTTATTCGCTCCATTAGAACGACTGCAACAATAGCACCATATTTGCATGTAAGTTTTATCAATTGCGAATCACTTTTCAATGTATGAGTGTCAAAATTTATCATTCACAAATAGTGACATTTTATGTAAATAAATGATGACTATACATTGGACATCGGAATAAATTTTAATAATTGAATTGACAAATTACATGCCAAACTTTAAGATAGTCTAGTGATGAACCCTGACCTCTCACCTCACTCTAACCCGGTCTAGTTAACTGTCAAACCGTTCGGCTCACGCTAACACAGTCCGGTGTCGAACACTCACCGTCCGACTCGGGGGCCTCCTGCTCCTCCTGGTCGAGGCCATCAAGGTAGGTGAGTGTGGGCAGGATCTGGAAGAGCTTCTCGCGGTAATCCTCGTGCCGTGTCACCTCGCAGTTGTACAGGTCGAGGCTCTTGAGCAGCTCCAGCTTTTTCTGCTCGCAGCCATCGAACCACAAGGGCAGCTCACTATATATTTACTATTTTTAAATCCTTTATATTAAGTTCACTTGCTTGCTTGGTTGCGCGCTTACGACCGTGCAAATCTTTCGGTCGTTTTTTAACCCACTCCCCGTGATCCAATCGAGCTGACATTTTGCACACAGACTCGTTGTGCGTGACAATTGATTTTCGTGAAAAAAACATTTCCAAAATTGTACACTTTTTAGGAATTTTTTTTTATATTTAATTACCAATTGCTTAATGGTGCCAGGCAATCATCTGACCCATAGGTGGCAGCCATCTCAAGCCAGAGGACGAGAGGACTCTAGCCGCCACGCATATAAAGGATTTATAGTGAAAAACTTAGTTTTTACGGGTTAAATTTTTCATTTATTTATCTTTACCAGGTAAGGCCCCCACTGAGCTACGCAGCTCTTTTTCAGTAGCGGCCTGGCCACAGATGATAGCTCCACTGCACCGACCCGGCCTTCGTATTTGTTTATTCTTTACATTGCTCATAATTCTAATAATTGTATCGTGAAAAATAATGACGTGGCAAACCCTAGTGTGTAGTAATGCGTGAGTGAGACGCGCGTAGACATTACCATCGCGCAAACTCCAGTTATCGTCGCAGCGGATTTTGGCTGGTCATCGAACAAAGACGGTCACCGCATCGCGCGCTTTAAGAAAGCACTTCTGCGGCCGTCTGGAACGCCCTTCCTTCCTATATTAGGAAGCCATTGGAGCGAAGAACTTACAAATTCTAGAAGTGGCTTATTGTGTGGAAATTTTGAGTAGCCAACAACTCTAAACGCATCGTTTTGATTCTAAATGTGGAGGGAAAAACCGGAGGACCCAGAGAAAAATGCATGCGACCACCAGGGAGAGAGAAACATTTAAACTCGAAATATAAAGGCGTCAGGGTCGGGATTGGGATCGAACCCACGACCTCCTTTATTCCAGGCAGGGTTGTTAACATCTCACCACTGCGGCGCCTGCCATGGGGGCTGTTTAACTGTACTTCACCATACCACGCAAGGTAGTTAACATCAAACCGGTAAACAAATCTTTGTGAAACTGCCATCGCGTGAACGAAGCGCAAACTCCGTTAAGATTTGTCCTCCACGGTCACTTTTATCCTCGTCAAGTTTACCCAGTGGATGCTATGAATACATAAATGCGTCTCTGGTTCTTTTGGTAAAGTCACGTAAATATAATAAATAATAAAAAGAACACTACGTTTCGGTCGCAACACAAGCGTCCGTCACAGGTGAGAAAGAATGATCACCTGATGACGGACGCTTGTGTTGTGAACGAAACGTCGTGTTCTTTTATAATTTTTTCTACCTACGTGACTTTACCGAAAGAACCAGAGAGTATTGATTCTTGCAGTCACGAAAGTTTCAAATCAAGATCATAAATGTGTCGTTAATGCACCACCACCCGACGCAGCCAATGAGTAAGGTTTGTCGCATAAACATGCCAATTAATTACTTTTTCAGCACACCGGTATGTTGGAGAGTAAACCAGCAATACTGACAGTTTGAGTACTGTGACGTTTCTCTGGTGATTACAACCAGCCTCATCAGGCGATTTTAGCCAGAATCGTGAAGAAGTCTTGCTGTTTCTGACAAGTGCAAAGGTATGGATCACGTTACCTGGGTTTTCTTCAATTTAGACATTTATTTTAATCTCCCAACTCTTGTCTCGTTTGGCTGAGATTCCTTAACCAGTCTAGTCCATTGATCATCATCCTTTCTTGTGCCCTGTCCATGTCCAATCCCACTGTAAGCAACGCAAAGTCTGGAATTCATGATTGTTCCCCAATCCACGTGTTACCTCTTTGCGCCTCGTGGGAGTAATTTGCAGCAGCATGCATCTCCCCACACTCCTTTGTGTACGTCCATCGGTCCGTGTTTACGATCCGTACGTTGTGGCAGTCGATAACGCACTGACTGTAAAACTGAATTCTTTAGACGCGTTGCTCTTCATTATTAAATGCGATGTTTCCATAAGCGCTCCATTCTGGTCTTGCTGTCCTCTTAATTTAATAATTTTCATCCTGTTGTCTATTATTATTTCTGCCTCGGCATCTTGCTAATTAAGTAGTTTAAGGTGATTGCACTCAGGGTGGTCTTGTCAAGATAAATATATATAACAGTAATTGAGTGGTGATTACACAATTGAAGTCTTTATTAAACTCTGAATGCAACATCAAACATTACCTTTCAGTAACAATTTCACTGTCTCTCTCTCAACTGCATATCAACCGTCTCGACTGTCTAAAAGTGCGCACTACTAAGCTTATATCCCCTGTTGACGTTACGAGAATGAGGCACATTTTCTACAATCCACTTTCAATCATTGCCCTAAGAATACAAATATATACGCGGATTGTTCTCCTACAACGCGTGTTTTCATTACGCGAATTGGATATAACGCGATGACCGTATTAGGGAACACATTTTTTTATAACACGGATGCGAATTGGATATAACGCGATTCAGTGAACAGAACTACGTCGCACGTGTAGGGATAAGCGGTTGTACGGCTGCCTCAGCGTAGCATCGCACAAGGCTATGGGATGCTGCTGGATGCTTCTAGATGCTACCACGTGCCTCAGTCTTTGTTCAGTCTGCGTACGCATCTCGCGCGTTATCACCAACTGTGCTTTACCCTATACAGTATGTTACTTTTATAACGCAAATTTTCCATAACGCGGCGTTCTAGGAGAACAGACTCTACTCCAAGTGTTTCCCTCTAACAACTATTTATATTGTTTAACAAACTTGTCGTGTACATGGGCTTGTTTTGCTCATATTTCATAATTTCCTGTAGGTAATTTCCATTGATTCGTAATTATTTTTAAGATCATAGTGTATGTTATGCCTTATTTTTACTATAACCATCCACTACCCGATAGATCAAATAAAATGAATTTGTCACTTGGGAAAATATGCCAATTGATTTGCTGTTTCAGCAGACAGGAATTTGTACAATATAACATCTCATCCTGTGTTCTTTGGAATCTGAACATTTTGCTTGGTAAACTAAAAGAAACCAATTATAATTCATAATATTGGTCGTGAAAGACTACGTGTAAAATCGTTTCCATTGGTTATTAAAGTACTACAAAATCACCTTATTTATCTTCTTATTTATATCTTGCTACTTTCTTTGTAAAATGTACAAACAAGTTTTTTTGTAATTTCTCTAAATATATATATATTTTTATTAAATACCTTCGCTTGTGAGAGCTTTGAAATGCTGTCTCAGTTTTCACTTTATCATAACCTACAAAGTCCTGGCCAAAATTAAATTACACTTATGTATACTCTTTAGTTCTTTCGGTAAAGTCACGTAGGTAGAAAAATAATATTAGTGATCTATTATAATAATAGTGATCTAACACGTTCCTTCGGAGTGGGCAGGTAGGAACTTGGTTGGACGGCGCATTCGTGCGATCCGTGTCACGCGGCGCAAGCTACGTGGGGCGGCGCGTCACGTGGTGCTGAGCCCGCCCGAAGCGCTCTTTGAAATACAAATCGAGGGCGTGGCTATGCACGACAGACAGACAAATAATCCCTGGTGGGCAGTGTGGAACTGTTGTTCCTACCTGTGTTATTTTTCTACCTACGTGACTTTACCAAAATAACCAAAGAGTATGGATTCCATCAGTCACGAAAGCTTCAAATCAAGATTGACACTTATGTAGTTGCGATGCCACACAACTGCCAGTGCTGCTCACCAGGGGTTCTAATGTGCCGAGGTCTTTGATTTTGTTGCCGCTGAGGTGCAGGCTGGTGAGCTTCGGCGCTTTCTCGGCAAGTACCTCCAAACCTCCGGAAATCCTGTTGTCGCTCAACTCCAGCTGTGTAACATGAAAGCAATCGTCATCGTAGTCGTCAACATCATCATCATCAACGCAATAAAAATTGTTCACGCCATCAATTCCGGCCAAAAGAAACCTAAATGGCCGTAAAAAAAGACCTAAGCTAAGACAGGCCCAAGATAAACATACTGAAGATAAAACAGGCCTAGACTCAAGCCTACGCTAAACAGGCTTAAGCTAAAACAGGCCTACGCTAAAACAGGTCTAAGCTAAAGAGGCCTAATATAAAACAGGCCTAAGCAAAACAGGACGAAGTTATATGTGCATCTAATGCGACGCCTATCACATCAGGCAGCCCAGCAACATTCGTTAAACAGGCCACACACCCTGTTGATGAGACACAAATAAGTTAAAACCCATTCAGGGCTTGCTGCACAAACAAATGCTAACCTTGCACTGTCTCATTTTTGGACATCGGCTGTCTGAGTTAAATCGCAACGTTCATGAATTGACCCCGTCTTATACGTGTTTTGCTAAGTGGACACCTTCAGCTCTCTTGCCGAGTCTGGCTTTGAGAGGTTGTCCCTGTATCGGCTGTGTTTGATTTGAAGCCGGTGTGCAGGTTTGAGGGTGGCTAAGCCTCTGTTAACCTCCACCAAGTCAGCGTGGCTCAGGAGACACCAGGTCTGTTCTAGATTTGAAGCTTTCGTGACTGCAAGGATTCATATTCTTAGGTTGTTTTCGGTAAAGTCACGTAGGTAAAAAATTAATAAAAGTAAAATAAAATAAAAATCACGACGTTTCGGAGGCAACACAAGCTTCCGTCTTCAGGTGGAACCGTCACAGCCACGATAGCTGTATCAAGTAAATGAGAGATTACAAGAGCTACCACTCCGTATATATAATGGTTGAAGAGGGGAAGGGCCAAGTACGACACACTTTTTATTAATATGGTAAGGTGAGGCTTAAGACTAAGAATAGACTGCATAACAAAAGACTGAGCCTTTGTTATGGAGAGGTGCGGTTGTGACTACGCCTAGCCTACATAACAAAAGTGTGAAAAAAGAAAGAAAAAACTAAACCTGGTAAAACAAAACTGGCTGTCTATCAATAACCTGTAATAGTTGTCTGTCAAATAAGATGGTCCAAATAAGTGTAGTTAAATATTTTTTGCATGGTTAATCACATCTTTCCAATGATTACTCAGTTTGTAACCATCATCACGGTTGAAATTATGTCTGTGTTTGTATATTTGTATGGCTTCGTGTACAAACCTTTGATGGTAGCCAGGAGGTTTGCAGAGCACCTTGGTCTCGGAAAAGACAATTTCATGAGAGCCCACAGAGTTGTAGCAATGATCGGTAACGGACGAAGAATCAGTTCTGCCATGTTTCAGATCTGACTTGTGCTCGCGGACATGATCAGAAACATGACGTTTCGTTTCTCCAATGTAGCAATGACCACAACTGCAACTCAGTTTGTAGACACCAGGATACTGTAAGTCAGGAACGACATCCTTCACAGATGGAATCAAATCACGGATTTTATGCACTGTACTGAATCGGACTTGGATCTTATGTTTGTTTAGAATTTTGGAGATCTTTTTGGTCACGCCTGCTATGTATGGTAACGTGATAGTTTTGGTTGGAGTTTCATGTGGCTGTTTCTGTATGGTGGGAGAAACAGCTTGGCGGATGGTGCGGTCAGAGTATCCGTTCATCCTGAGGGCCCGATGTACATGTCTTAATTCACCGGCCAGGTGGTGTTGGTCAGAAATGCCATGGGCTTTGTGGTATAGCATTTTGATGAGAGAATTCTTTTGAGATGGGTGGTGGTGGGAATCCGGTTTCAAGTAGGAATCTGTGTGGGTGGCTTTCCTGAAGACAGAATGTCCCAAGGATCCGTCAGGTCTCCTCTCAAACAGAATATCCAAGAATGGTAGTTTACCATCTTTCTCCACTTCCATGGTGAATCTGATGGATGGGTGTCTGGAATTGATGTGGTCCAAGAAGTGGTTCAATGCTGGGAGGCCATATGGCCAGATGACGAAAGTGTCATCCACATACCTCTTCCACAGGGAAGGACGCAGGGTGGATGTCTGGATGGCGTCTGATTCAAACTTTTCCATGAACATGTTGGCTATACTTGATACAGCTGTCGCGGCTTTGACGGTTCCATCTGAAGACGGAAGCTTGTGTTGCCTCCGAAACGTCGTGATTTTTATTTTATTTTACTTTTATTAATTTTAATTTTTCACCTACGTGACTTTACCGAAAAAACCTAAGAATACCAGGTCTGTTTTTTTCCCACTGCAGAAGCTGAACCATGTCACCAATTTCACGCGCAGTGAAGGAGTTTATACGCATTTCGATGACATGATTAAAGATCCGCTTGTGTTGCAACTATCTGAATCTCACACGTGATGAACGAGCTGCCCTTGCACCCCCTGCTAGGCCCGGATCCAGGTTCAGGTGTGAGGCCAGTGTAGCACGGTTTGGTTCCAGCAAGGCACAGTAAATTGCCAGTGGAAAAACCACCCGTACCACGAGGGCCCTGCACTCGCTCGGCTCGCACGTGCCAGTACGAAAAGGGGTATAAGAATAATGATAGCACTTCTCACCTTCTTCAGCTTGGGCAGCTTGGGCAGATTGGCGAGACTGGTGAGGCCGACGCTGATCATGCTCAGGTACTCCAGAGCAGAGAAGGCATCCGTCAGCCCCTCAATCTTCCCGTCGTTGGAGCGGCAGTTGTCCAAGACGAGCTCTATGACCTAATGAAACAATTCAAACAAAAATAGCACTCATTAACCACGCCTTTTGTCAATATGCTGCTGGATGAAGGTTTTCTCAGCGTGTCAGTGGTGAGGGTTGTTTTACCATACTTTACCACGCTCGTCAGCACCATTTGGTAAAGGGGTCTGGCCCAGGATGTGCTCAAATGCCACCTGTTACAATGATGTTAACCATGGCCAGGAATTACAAACTTTAATAATGGGGTTCATAGCCCAGTGTGAGATGGACAGTAAGGGATGGCGGCAGCATGGGAGGGCCTTCCCCTTGAAAATATATATTTTTTATTTTACCAGTTAAGGCCCACTGAGCTGTATAGCTCTTTTTCAGAAGCGACCTGGCCACAAATGATCGCTCAAGGAAGTGGTTTTTCACGTGAAAATGTATAGCAGCCAAATACACATTTAGAAACGCATGTTTCTAAATGTGGAGAGGAAAATCGGAGGACCCGGAGAAAAATCCACTCGACCACGGGGAGAACATGCAAACTCTAAATATACAGGCACCAGCATCGGGGTCGAACCCATGACCTATATACCAGGTGAGGTAGTTAATATCTCACCACCGTGGCGCCCGTTTCTCCCCATGGACATCCAGCAGTGGATAAACCATGGTTCACGACGACGGTACTCATTTGAGGTGGCTACAAACCACGATTTTTGTCTTACAGTATTACACCATAAATGGGTTCCCGTGGATACATGATTACAAATTACTCAGGAAGAAAATCCAGACGCCGGCACCAACGACCACAGGCATCGCGTAGGCGCAAGCGAATAACCGAACGCAGCGCTCTGTGTCCCCGGGCCAATTAAGCGATGGAGGTCATGTCTGTTCGTGGACGGTGACGGATCCAGCATGCCCCTGCCGCCCGCCGCTGCAAGACCACACGCATGCTAATCGCCCACGGGGGAGCGCAGCGGACGCAGCAGCGGCGGCGGCGGCAGCAGCAGCAGAAGTGGAAAATGTTGATCGCATCCAAGAAGACGGAAATGCCTTGGAAAGACGGCCGCGTTGCTCGGGTTGGGGCAGCAGTCAAGTCGGGAGAAAGCTGGGGCTGTTTTCGTTAGGGCAGGGTAAATCAAGTCCACTCAGTCATCATCAACATGCCATGATCTATCCACTGATGGATGAAGGCCTCCCTACCAAGTGGCCGTCTCCCGCTTGCAATGCAATGCCGTGGAATCATTGCGTTCCTGCACCTCGCTTGTTCTCGCAATCTCGCCTTTGGCTGCCACCACGCCGTGCGTCTCAACGGTAGTCTATCATCCCTGATAGCCATGGCGTGTCAAGGCGGTGTCTCATTTGCATTTGTTCCCTGAACCTGTGTGTTCCGCTGCCGAACATGGCGGTATCTCCCCACCCAGAGATATTGCTGTGTCTGTCGTTTACAGCGTGATACCAAACCATCGCAAGACAGCGAGTGAGGGAAAGTGACAGGCTGAGGCTGGGTCAATGTCCATTGAGAGAGACAGACCAACAGCACATTTCCAAAGAAGCCCTAACTTCTGTGTGTCATCTCTTGAAAGGACATCCTTGGTTTGTCCTCCGATGAGGATATAATTGTACGTTTGTGTTTGCATCTGCGTTTGCATCTATGTTTGTATGTGCATATGTATTATTAAGGGGAGTGGTGGCGCAGTTGTTAGTGTGCTCCGCTACGAGACCGGCTGCCCGTTTGAATTCCCCCTCACGGCCACAATCATCGGTCACGATTATCTGAACCGTTCCTGGGCCTCCCCAGGTCGACTCAACCTCAAATGAGTACCTGTTGCGGTGCGTAAAAACATCGCCACTGGGGAGACAAAGGCGGCCGGACGTAGTGCTGGCCACCCACCCCCCTCGTGTGCCGTGCCGGCCTTCATAGGTACTCGCTAACAGCACTTGCCCCAACAGTCTGCTACAGACTATACGGGGGATCTTTGTCTTTGACTATCTAGTGTTGTGTAAACATCGGCACTGTGGGGAGATGAAGGTGGCTGGCTGAGGTGCTGTCCACACCATCACTCGTGCCCTGTTCTGGCATGAATAGGTGCTAACTAACGGCACAACACGAGCCGACAACACCAGACATTCCCAGACAATCTCCCATCCAATTACTAACCAGGTTAAACCCGCGTGGCTTGCAAGAGTTGTTGGGGTAAGGCGCATTCACAGCGATGCACGTATAGAAGTTTTTTTAAAAATAGAATTTTAAGTACACGAAAATAGAGTTACTGCAGTATTGCTGGTCATGAACAGGATACATTGTTTGTTAAAGTGTAAAATAAAAATTTTCATTTGTGCTATGTATTGAAAAACTAAAATCGTTTCCACTCAAAGTAAACAGCACTTGGCCAAATTACAAAAAAATGTAGAAGCCAATGACTCGCAAAAGATGGGGAGTGGGTTTATTTACCAAATAAAAGTAGAAATGTAAGCGGCAGGACAGAGCGGTGACAAAATGCAATGTTTACAGAAAACGCTTAGCCTCCAAGGTTACGTAAGGATTACAAAACGCAGCGGATAAAACGGGGCATCGCACCGAATAACTTGTGAACACAAGAGCACAGAGAGCCCTTGTGTTAAGAGATCGATGTCGTGATTTTTAAAACCGCATCATTATTTTTCGTGCTCCTTTTTGGCGAATGTTTTTAAACTCACAGAACCCCCGACTGTTTCTCTCCCGTCTGATTCGTTTTTTTTGTCGTGAAATCTGCCAATGCCTCAATCACTTAGCAAATGGTGGAAAAAAAATATTCCAAAAATCACCAAGCTTCAGTGATCCAGAGGTTTTCTAGGCATGTGAATATTGGGGATAGCCAAAACACACGGCGTGATTCAGTAGTCAGTTACACTTCGCTGGTGTTGTTGTATAGCGTGGGTACGAATCCAGGTTTCAGCCACCCGTGATTAAACTGGGTCGTCAGGGGTGGCGAGTTTATGGTTTCAGGCCAGTTATCAAAATATATATTAAGTTAATTTGGTGATTTCAAGTTACTGTATGTGAATTAAAATAACTGATTTGACAATGTGTTTGGTAGTACATGTGGGTTAGTGCACAATTTCTGGTGTGCATGTGTGTATAAAAAAAAGCAGGTGACTTTAACGGATTATAGAAGTAGTTCTGCATATATCTCTTCTGCTGGCCGTTCTCTAAACAAACGGGGCAATGCGTTTGTTTAGATTCTTCATGTCGTGCCATGACGCCTATAGCACAATTGAGATAAAATTGGGGAGACAACACATGTACTGTATATGTGTAGAATCAATGTCAGTTCAAATAGAAATGTGCCAATCTACATTGGCAGCCCTGAGCCAGCAGTAGAAATTCCACATTTATTTGATGGGAGCCAGACCATCCATATTTTGCCCAATACATGAGATATAATCATAGTTGTGTAAATCATAGTAGGCAATCATAAGTGACATATCCTCAGAGGGTCAGAGATATGATGAACAAATTCTGAATATGGTCCGGCAATGGAAAATGTAAGTCGCACTCATTACACACAAAGTGCTTGCTTCAAATGATTTACAATTTCTTGCTGATCTCAAGGAATACAAACCATCACATGAACTCCGGTCATCCTCGCAGCGGGATGTGGCTCACCATCGAACAAAGACGGCCACCGCATCGCGCGGCACGTTTAGGCGCGCGATGCGGCCGTCTGGAACGCTCTTCCTTCCGATATTATAATCCACTGGCGCCACGCACTTTTAAATCGAGATTGAAAACTCATTGCTTTAGAACTTCATTGTGTTTAGTTTGTTGTCCTTGCCCCGCAACCTCCGATTAGCACGGTTGGCTACATACGGTGCAAAAGAAGTTCAATATACACATATATACAAGAGCGACGAAGCTTTGAGCGAGAGGAACGTGCGCTCGAGGGAGCTGCTTCCTCATCGGTGGGCGCTTGTTTGGGATGCACGGGGTTGTTATTTTGGGTTCGTTATTTCAGATAAAACATTTCCGGCTCATTCTCACAATGGGGCTTTTGGCTCGCCATCGAACAAATATGGTCACCGCATCGCGCGCTTTCTGATGCGCTTCTGCGGCCGGTCTGGAACACTCTTCCTTCCGATATTAGGAAGCCACCGAAGCTATGCACTTTTAAATCTAGATGGAAAAATCATTTCTTTAGAGCTGCTTTTTGTATTTAGTTTGCTGTCCTTCCCCCGCACCTCCGAAGGGCACGGCTGGCTACGTACGGCGCGAAAGAAGTTCAACGCACATACGTACGAGGAAGGAAACGCATCAGCTGGTAGGAAAATGCCGAGACAACTGGACGGGAATGAAGAGCGTTCCATCATCTGTCATGGACATGGGCCCCGAGCTCTGTGTGAATAACACTACCTACGTAGGTGGATAGAATCACAACGATGCATTGTTAATGACAGGCAGATGGGCACACGCCCGGAGTTATATCATCAGTGGGGCGGTGGGTGAGCAGAGAAGGAGGGAAGATGAAGGCAATTGAGCCAGGGATGCGGAGCGGATCAAGATCAGGCAATGGAGCGGATCAGGGTGAGATGGGGATCAGGGCAGTGGGAGGGAGGCACCTAACAAAGCCCTGCTCGGCCAAGTGCGTGAGTAGGGGTTTGTGTGCATTAATGGATGTGCGTGTGTTGTTGTCTGTGTGCATAGATTTTGTGTGTACCGTGTAAAAGCATGTGATGTGTGTGTAAGTGTGTATGGGGAGCGGTAGTGTAGCGGTTAGCGCAATTACCGCTCACGTTCAAATTCAGTGAAGATTATCTGAACCGGTCCAGGGCCTCCCCTAGGTCGACTCAGCCTCAAATGAGTACCTGGTGCGATGTGTAAACATTGTCACTGGGGAGAGAACAAAGGCGGCCGGGCGTGGTGTTGGCCACCCACCCCCTCGTGTGCCGTTAGCGAGCACCTTCATAGGTGCCCGCTAACAGCACTTGCCCCAACAGTCTGTTACAGGCTATACGGGGGATCTTTGTCAGTGTGCGTGAGCGAGTGCCTAGTGCAGGT